CTATCTATCTATCTATCTATCTATCTATCTATCTATCTAAAGAACTTTTTTTTAGCCTTAATACGTAATTTTTCTGACTTCCTGGTCGTTATTTAGGGGTCTTTGCAATCTAATAGCAGCTTAATAGATATAATAAGATACTTTAGGCTCAGAGATCTTCAGGGGCTGCTTTCCGTTCTCATGCTTTCTTAAATCAAATCTAACTATTTCCCAGTTTATTTGCTGCATTGAATCTAAGTGCATCGTGTTTGGACCCCTTTGCATTATTTCTTTGTCCTACTTTTTTAAGGTAATGATCTGGAAATGACCAGACCATCGATAAAAGTTGCGTATCCTTCATTTCTGAAGGCGCCCGTCCTAAAGGGGGGGTGGAGGTGGGGGGGTTAGGCCTTGACCTCTTACCGTCTCCACTGATGGTGAGTCGAGTCGCTCCATTGGAGCTCCCTCGACGTGGAGATACTAAATCAATCCGCTGCGCACCTGGAAATGCGACCAAAACTCAGATTTTAACGACATAGTCCCATTTTTAGACATTTTCTCTGAACACCTGGAGGATTTTTACACATTTTGAACAAAAACGACACACAAAAAAGACAAACTGGGGAACTTTTTTCTCCCCGTTTCTTACTGCAGCAGCACCACAGCGCGACCAGCAGGGCCGCCGACCGCATCCCGCTGGGTTCAGATCCCTCCGCTGGATCACCTGCAGGAAAGGTGAACCGGTTGGTACCAAAGCATCTTTCAAAGTTCCACAGAAAAACAAAATTCCTAAAGCAGATTTAACGGCAGCTGGTGGCGTTAAATCTTCAGAGAAACTCAATATTGAGCCGGTTAAGACCGACATTTCCCAACAGTTTGATTTAGAGATGTGAGCTTGAAACGGGTGTGTCTCACCTGTCGAGTGGGAGGGAGGGGGGGGGGTAAAAAGTGTCTGAGGCCCGTTTGAAGCTCCGCTTCGATTCAGGGCTCCTGTCTGAGCTCCGAGCGGAGACCTGAGGTTTTATCCCGGCCGCTGGACCCGCCTCTCACCTGGGATGGGAGGGACGAGAAGCCGCCACCCCGGGCCCGGTTCGCATTGGCCCCCCCTACCCCCCCCGGCCGGACCCCTGTGGGCCTGACCGGGGCCCGGAGGGGAACTATGTGTGTGTGTGTGTGCGTGTGTGTGTGTGTGTGCATGAGTAATAGCTCCATGACCGGAATGTCAGTCATATTTTCATGAAAGACCAAAAAAGAAAAGGAGAAACCAAGTCCAAACTGCAGGTTTAAGTCATTTAAAAAGGCCCAAAGAGCAGCTAAATTAATATTTTCTAAATTCATTCTAGTTACTTGGGGTCAGAATGAACCCCCAATATCATATTCTCCCCTGTTAGTCTTTTTTTCTTTGGAGTTTTCCTGTCTGGTACCATTAAAAAGAACCTTAAAAGCCTCTTAAATTAAAGAAAAAAAGAGCATATTTTAACAGTTTGTCTCAAAGCGGTGAATGTTTCATTGTTGGTCTGTTTTCCCCAAAATATTTTGCAGGTTTTAGTCATTCAAACAGGACAAAAAGTAGCTTTATTCACATAGTCAGGATTGAAAGTGTAACGTGATCCATTGTAAGGGATTTTGCATTAATACATTGAGAATTATGTTGAAGCGTCTTGCAGCTCCTGATGCTGCAGGTTCCTCCAGAGAACTCAGAGTTCTGCTGGTTTTCCTCCAGAATGAGGTTTCATTTCCTGGAAATCAGCTCCATTCCGCATCCAGAAATGAAGGAAACTTTGTGCTGATGTGCTGAAAACAGTTGACCAAAAGCTGGAACTCAGAGCTCTGAATCCTTTATTCTCTAAAAATGAACTAATTTTAAACAAAAAGATGAAAAAGTGTCCATATGAAGCTATTATAATCCTAGTAACTCATGTGGGAATCCAATAATTTAGTAAAAGAAATTAAAATCAATCAGAATATTTTCTAATTCAAACTTTGAATTGTGCTTTTTTGCTCCAGAATCAGCTCTGATTTCCACTAAATGAGCTCTGTTCCAGCAGAAATGGGACCATGAGCTGGACAGAAGCACCTTGAGGACTGAAGCCGTGTCGTAATTAAGAATGACGACCATCGCTGATGTCATGTCCCTGTCGGTTCCCTCAACATTGACACAGAAAAGAGGAAACCAGGCATTTCATGACTAAATCAGCATTTATTTGTGTAAAAACGGAAGAAACAGGCTGTGGCCTGCATCCAGAGCTATTAAAAGTTGCCATATTACTGAAAAGCACGAGGGAGAGACCAAAAAAAGGGAATTACTTGCAACTTTAAACTGAATGTGATAATTTCTGTCTGAAACCTCAGACTTCCTCAGACCTTTTTTCAGAGTATGACTGATGTACAGGGGGAATCGATGACAGCCGTCACAGACGAGAACACAAAGCCCGTCAGAAGGTCTGAACATCTCGTCCAAAACTGTCAACAAAAGCAGAAATGCTGCTTGGCTGGTTCGCTGCACGGAAGACGAGCACGTCTGACTCAGCTTTTTTCTCTGGAAAACAGAAGAAACCTTCAAAAACAAAAAAAAAGAAAAGTGGGAGCTGTCAACCAGTGGGACACCTGGGCTCCAGTTTTAGCCTCAACTGTGACCCCAAAAGCCAGAATCTGGCCGGGAGTGACGTCTGGAAGCGGGGTTTTCCACCAGGAAGATGCTGTTTCTTTGAGGTAGAAACAAAAAAAAAGGTGAACAATCACGGCAGCAATTATCCAAACGTCTGCAGCGTGACACCAAACGTAACCGGAGCCGCGTCGGCGCGCGTGACGGACGCACAAAGGCATTTCTGCCATTCCAGCCGGGCTATTTTCGGAAACAAAGCCCTAATCGGTGAACAGACACAAAGCAGCGATGACATCCATCAAGAACTTTTATTCCAAAAACAAAGTGAAACAGCGAGAAAACGACGGGGAGAAGCGGCATGGCGGGTCAGAGAGCGGCGTGCTGCGCCAGGAAGGAGCGGATCCTCTGCAGAAGCTCCTTCTTCACGCTGTCTGGCACCAACGCTGAAAAACAACCACAGAACCGGGTCACAGAGGGTTCAGCAGAACCAGCTTCCAAAGCTAGGCCTCTTCCCCCCCAGAAGGCTCAACAAACCAAAGAATTCCCCATGTTTGGTCACTAAAACCAGTGTTTTGGCTTCAAGTTGATGTTTAATCTATTCCTTCAAGCATTTAAAATATGAAATTCACTCTGTTTTCTGTTGATTCTCCTATTGTAAGTTCCATACAGTGAAATCAATTGATATTTTAAGAATTAACAATTAAGTCTGATTTTTATTTAAGGCTCAAACAAGCTAAACAAAGAAAACAAACCTGTTCAGATAGATTTCTGAGCGAGAAACACACAGATTGAGCAGGTAAACCAAATCCCACCCGTCACCTTTATCTTAAAGATGCATTGAATGAATAAATGCATCTAATAAAATAGTAAACATTCAAAGTCAAACAGATTTTCTGATCATTAGATGTCACTTCATTTTCAAGCAGCCATTTATGATTCAAACTTAAATATCTGCATTAATTTGCCTTAAAACGTTGTTTTGAAGAATAAAAACTCTGTTTTTAGACTGGAATCAGGCACAGCGTGTGTCCACTCTAATCCGAGCCTCTCAGCTTCTTGTTCATGGCTGGAAACGGAGCTTGGGGGCACCAGCGCCCCCTATTGGGCAGAAATAAGACAAACCTGCACTTACAGGAGTTATTTCCTCTGTAATTAACTAATCAGGATTAATGAATATGTTTTTTTTTACTCGAAACAGAAGCATTCGGAGCCAAATCTTCGTTTCTCGTGGGAAAACACGAGCAGACGCCTCGTGATGAGTTCATGACACAAAGAAAAACCGGATTTCATTTGTGGCGCCGCGGTTTGGATCCGCTCCAACTTTCCGGCTCGGATGAGCTACAGAATGTTTCATAATGTAAAAGAAAGCAGCCTGAAGGTAAAAATAAAAATAACCCCCCGCTGAGAGTCAAACGGCGCGTTGACAGGCCCTGAAAGCCGCCTAATCCCTTCTTTATCCTCACGATTCTCTCACCGGTCCGGCGGGTCTGGTCGGCCGGACTCTGGTTCTGGGGACGAGCCAGCTGCCATTAGAGGCTCAGCCCGTTTCCCCTCAGGCCCAAACACCTGAGCGTGGCCCAGGTCCATCTGGATCACGTGTTTTGGGTCTTAAATACATCTTTATTGAAGAGGAGACACTGTAATATCTAACAACATCTAAACATGACATCATTCTGGTGTTTTCCTCTTTTTTGGAGATAAAAAAACAGTTTTCTTAATTTTGAACGGCTGTAACTCCATTTTACAGGCAGAAAAAAGGCAGATATTTAAAGTTCAAGTGCAGATGGCAGCCTAAAATGCAAATTAAAACTAATTTTAATCATTAGAAAAAACATTCAGTTTGAATTTGAATGCGTTCTATGTATTCTTATCTCTTAAGAGATTTAAGTTGATGTATTAGTTGTTTTAGAGACAAAATAAGACCCTTTGTGGGTCATTCTGATGTGCTGTTAGTTACCCCAGCTCCTGCGTTCATCCCCGATTCTCAGAACTGAGATTGTAAAGCTGAAAACATCCATCTGATGAAAATCAGGTGGATGTAAAGGTAAAATTCTACAGAAACTGACCGGTAAATGCCTGATGACATTGACTGTGTGCAGAGTGTTGAAGTGAAGATTCAGATGTGAAAAGAGACTCACGCTCTGTTTTAAAATGCACTGAAGTCATTAGGTTGGCAGGATCTGTGAAAACTGGTTTCAAATCATTAAATTAATATGTTGCTTACTCTCACTGTTATTGGAGGTTTATTCCAGGTCATTTATTTTTTATTTTTGACTAAAAGAATCTTGAATCCGAGTCACTCAAACCCCAAATTCCCATTTTGTTTCTGTAAGAGTTTTTTTTTAAGAAATTGGGGGGATTTTTCAGGATTTTAAGAGCACAGGTTGTAAAGTGGAGCTGCTCAGACTGATCTGGGAGTGAGAGGGGCATTTTGGGCTTTTTGAAATGACTCCAATGGTCTTTTGCAGGACTGAAGCTCTCTGTTTACCTCTGCCCTTCGGCGTGACGTCTGTGACCAGGTCCTCCACCGTGACGTGCTCCAGGCCCTTTTCTCTGATCACGTCTGGACACAGAGAACACAGTTTTAGCGGGATGGCCCGACGGGACCCCAAACGCACCACACACGCACCTTTGCATTGCGCCTTGAGCTGGTCCTTCCATCCACACTCCACCAGCTTGGCCCTGAGCAGTTCCTTCAACCTGCGGCCACACAGCTCAGGGGTCAGAGGTCAGAATGCATCTGAAAGCCCGTGAAAACCGGAGCATTCCGGGAATTATCAGCCATTTAACTGCAGAAAAGGGCTCGCTTACCGCTCCCGTTCTCCCATTTCTATCAGCTTCTGGTTGATCGCCGCCCTCATTTGGTAGTCTTTGCTCATGATCTGCTCGGAAACACACGGCCTCGGATTAAAAGGAGCAGGCACGAAGGGAAAAGCCGAAAAACATTGCTAGGTTCAGCGAAGATGCGGTACCTTTGTCAACAGCGATCAGCTGGTCCTTGAACACAACGGCACGCTCCACAGGACCTGGAGCTCAAAGGTTCCGCCCTCGTAACGGTTTCTTTTCTACACCCGCCAGAACAACCGAAAAACTCAGATATAGTGGCTCAAAAGTTAGTTTTAACATTGTAACATTAATCTATACTTCAGATTTAAAAAAACTAACAAAAAAGGGATTTATTTGTAAAAGAAATACATCCAGAAGTCAGTTTCCCGTTGTGGCTTAAAGCGGTCCGCCCTGAAATGGGTCCGTGTAGCGTGTGTCCAGCTGTGATTATCCTCCTCCAGCTGCTCCTGCCGTGCCGCGAACCATCATCTGGGAATCGGCCAGTTTTGGTCCCACAGCCATGGCGGCGTCTAACTACACCCTGAAGGTCAACAGGGGCCTTTTGGACCCGAACTTTGAGAGTTACCGGCTGTCTCTGGACGCCATCCCGACGTACAACGTAGAGCTGGATGCCGGTGAGACTCTGCTGTTAGCATGTGTTGCTAGCCGAGCCAAGCTGAGCCAGAGCCTTTAAAACCCTCATTCCCCAAGAAAGAAGGAGTAACAGCCTTCGTTATTTCATGGATAAAATCGAAAATAAGTAATCAATGCAACGTGAACGGGTGTGACGTCATTATAAGGTTAAAACAGGCGTTAGGGTAACGCGCATGGCCATCTATTTAAGTGGATTAGACCAGAAATGAGAGAGATTTGCACTAAAATAGGATCTTTGTGGACCACAGGAATAAAACACTAAATAAAATAAACTGTGACAGATAAAACCTGAAAAACATCACACAGAGCAAAGCTTTAAAAGGAACAAGCCAGAAACACACAAATCAGTCAATGTGAGCACACAACTCAGACAAATGTGTCAGAAATAGGAAGCGTTTCACATTTAAAGCAACACAAACTGAGCAGGAAATATCCAGGGAGTCATTAAAACACAAAACAAAGAAACAACAATCACATCTTTTAAAATCACAGCACTGCTCAAAAAGAAGAAAAAAAACAATTCCAGTTAAAAGAATCTAACCTAATAACCAAATCTTTCAATGTATTGATTTTAAATATGACCAAAGCTCTTTTGTCACTGTTCTTTAACCATAACCCTTAATGAGAGTTCCCATTATCAGCAGGTTTGGTCTAGATTTATTTCTGCTTCCAGAAAAAAAGCAAAACCCGGTTTGTTCTCTTATTTTCTATCCATGACCTGCTGCAGCTGTGGAGGAGGTGAAGCTGAAGGACTCTCAGTACACGCTGGAGCACATGCGTGCCTTTGGCATGTTCAACTACCTGCACCTGGACCCCTGGTACCAGGACAGTGTGCTGTTTGTGGACTGCAAAGGACGGGTTCTGAATCTCACTGTCACCCTGGTGGGTTTTTACATCCTCCTGCTTCTCTTCCCCGGAATAGTTTTTACCTGGTAGTTTTTTGTCAGTCTTTTTTTTTTTCTGGTCCAATTGGACCTGGTTTGGTCATGTCTATTTCCGGTTGTTTTGTGTGTCTTTGTTTCCTTTTTCTGGTAGTTTTGTGTCAGTGTTTCACTATTTTTTTGCTAATGAGGATTTTAAACCTCATGTTTTCTCTTCTCAAATCTCTGCCGACACACTGAGCTTCTCTGAGGAGTCAGAAATGCATCAAACAAAACATTCAGCCACTAAAACTGTCTTTTCTGTCCAGGAAATGAACAGAAACAAACAGTAATCTAAGTAGGAGAACCTGTACAATCAGTGGCTTACAACATGCTTTTTGCCCCACTGTATTTTACTGTTGGACACTGAACCATTAAAGAAGTTAAATGGATTTAAAGCTCAGCGTGGAGCCACAAGCTGAGCCACCGTTTCCTAAAGAGCCTCACCAGGTGCTTACAGACGGGAACCTGAGCAGAAACTTCAGTTATTTCTCTACGTTTGTGCTGCTTTTGTGAGAAAAGCACCTGTGGTCACACTGGGACTCCAGTTGTGTCTCTCCAGCCTCCAGCAGGTGGCGCCAGACGCACATTCAGAGGGGCTGAACGAAAGAGGCCCCAGAGTTCAGGTTTCACCTGATCAGTGGACATTACAGCTGTAATGTTTCTGTAATGTTTATGCTAATGACCCAGCTGGGTGGCCTGTGGCTTTAGGGGCCAGTGGGAGGCCATCCGTCTAGTTTTTGCCCCCACAGACGCTGATGTCTGGCAGGATTTCTGCCTGATTAATCCAAAACCCACTGACTCTGGTTTCTGCTGTGATATTAAGATGTGCAGACGACCTTTTCAGCCGAGGCTCCTTTCATGTCTGGGACTTCGCTGACCATAATTACAGATAATGCAGCGGCTCCGGAGGCTGCTTTTGTGTCTGAAGTGGGCAAAATGACGATCATCAAGGTATTTCTGGCTCTCAGCAGCATTATTAGATAAATCTCATTGAAATGTGTTGCTCATCTCATAATTACAATGATCACATGCTAATTATGGGCCCTGATGAGGCTTCTGTGGCGGGGGCCATTACAGGGGCGTCCACGCTCCGCTGGGGGCGTCGAGCTGAGCAAAAGGAGCTGGGAGGTGGTTCCTGTACACGCCGCATGGCAACAGCAGCACGGCCACGCTCACATGGCAACAGGTGCTTTGCCCCCCCCCAGAGGGAGGTCTGACCCTGAATGAGCAGCAGAGCAACTCTGTGTGTTCCTGTGATGTTAAAACTCTGCAGCCCAGAAGATATTTAACACTAAAACACAATTATCATTGTCATCAATGCAGTTTCTAATGATCTGTTTCACAAAAAAAAAGGAAAATGAACTAAAGAACAATGTTATTTCTGAGTTTTAGTGGCTGAATGTTCTCAGAGAGTTGTTGAAATTTGGGGAGGAAAAAAAGGAAACTGGGTTTGAAATCCTGATGAGCTGAAAAAGGTAAAACGACCAAAAACAGGCAGAATTTGACCAAAAAAAAAGACACAGAAACAACAACCAGAAAAAGCATAAAAAGACACTCCTGCTTTTCCCCTTTTCTTCAATTGCTCTGTTAATTGGTTTTAACTTGTATTTCAAAGGCAAAAAGCAATATTTAATTACACTTTTGAATTTGGAAATCGTGTGTTCAAATGTGCGTTTAAACCACTTTGTGTGCAAACGTTTCAAACACAAACAAACATGAACGTTTTCCAGAGATTTTCCCTTTGAGTCGCTCGTATTTCGCCACTTCCTGTTCAGAAATGGCTCCTTAGACACGTGCACGTGCATCACCTGATGTGCATGGAGCCATTTCGGTTCTCATTTTGAGACTTTTTCAGCATCTGTCCTAGTTTGAGTCTCAGTGGTGCATTCAGTTGCTGGAGGAATGCTGGGGCATTTGGGTTTTCATCAATTCAGTCAGATTTCAGACAGAAAGGCTGAAGTTGAAACTGTGAGTTTGGTCTCTGTGTGCCAACCGGGGAGCGACCAGCTGCTAACTTTCTCTGTAACCGTGTGCCCGTAGGACACGGCCCTGGGGAAGCCCAGGGAGGTGTTCTGCCTGGGGGCCGAGCCGGGCCGGGGGGGGGAGCGGGTGTGCCCCTCCCTCAGCCTCACCTCGGCCACCTGGGCCGCCCTGTCAGACGGCCACGGCCGGCTGTTGCTGCTGCGCACCGGGAAGAGAGGAGACGGCTCCCACATGAAGTGGGAGGTGAGTAAACACCCTTTTTTATTAGTAACGCAAGGCACATTTCAGCACATTTCCTGTACAAGACAATTCAAAGTGCTTCACAAAGAATTTAAAAGCAGAAAAACAAAGAAAGAAAAAGAATCAACCAAATAAATTTGTAGATAAAAAGTGAATGATGCAGATAAATTACATTTAGTTTCAATCTGCTCAGTTAAACAGATGTTTTCAGCTGGATTTAAATATAGTCAGAGTCTATCTCACGTCTTCAGGAAGACTGATCCAGATTTTAGGAGCATGGACCTGAAATGAAGCCTCTCCTTGTTTAGTTCTGGTTCTGGGCCCCAGCAGGAGACCAGAACCTGGTTCTCAGAGTCTGAGCTTGTTCATGTGGCTCTAACATGACAGAAATGTATTTCTGTGCTCGACCCTGAAGAGACCATAACACAAGCAGAGCTGTTTTAGAGTCTGTTCTCTGAGAAACAAGAAGCCAGAGCAGAGACCTGAGAACTGGACTGATGGGGTCCTGGTTCCTGGTTCTAAACTGTACTGATGTGGTCCTGTTTCCTGGTCCTGCTCAGAACTCCAGCAGCTGTTTCTGGATGTAGTAAACTAAGCTTTCCTGTTCTGCCCTCAGCTGCTGTTCAGCCAGGATCAGGGCGAGCCGTTCACCATCCTGCACAGCCTTTCGCACGTCCAGGAGGGCGTCCACGCCGTGGAGGTCCTGCTGCTGCGCGTCCAGAAAGACCCGCCGGACACCCCGGGAAGTGGCTTCTCTGTGTCTCTGGAGTGGATCACGGTGGCCAGCACGGCAGCACAAGGTGGGGTGGTGCTGCTCCGACAGCAGCCACAGGCTACACTGTAGGGTTTCCAAAAAGGAGGACACTTTGCCTCCAGAGGGATTCAGACAGGCTTCTCAGATGTTAATGAACAGGCTTTATTATACCTCAATAGTACTAAAATAACAATCTGTAACAACCAGTTACAAAATAATAGCCCTCCTTTAAAATACATAATAAAATCAAATAATGTTCTAAATATGACCTCTTCTGGATTAGAAAACAGCTTTAACAAAATACCTCTTAATACCCTCTTAATGTAATAAAGGAAAAAGTCTCACAATGATACAAACTCAAAAAAGGGTCTATACTAAGTATTGATCAATGCTAAGGATATATCCTTTTTGTCCCACTTGTTGCGACCAGTATGTGGGAAATTTCTTTTGCAGTTCGTCTCTGAAGCTGCACTTTGGTTTCTGCATTTTGTCGCCAATGCTGGCTGCTCTGCTCCCTGTGTGTGGGGGTATTTCGCTTGGCTCCCCCGCAAGGCCCTCGAGAATTATGTCGGGCAACAATGTATTCTGTGCAAAGCTCTAGTCCATTTAAGCATGTGATTACGGTCCCATGAAAAACAGTGAAAACCGGACATTTTTATGAATTTATCCCCTCTTGGCACCCTGGACAGGATGTAAATAGTGGACATGTCTGGGCAAAAGAGGACGTTTAGTCACCCTACTTCACTCTGTCCCACAGGAGCGAACGCCAGCAGGGAGCAGATTATCGTTTCTGAAAGCCGAGAACAAAATCCACACAGATCAATGAGTCAGAGCTGTGTTTGACAGCTTTATTAACGCTGGCTGTGTCTCAGGGTCTGTCTCTGTGCTTCCAAAACACCAAACTCAATTAATTAAGAAGCACTTCATTTATACCAGAGGGAAATTAAATGTTGCTGGAGCTCATTTAGTTAAGGAGTTATTACAGATAGTGATCGCACAAAGACACACAATGGCTCACCGAAGAGACAAAAAAATGACCAGAAACGGGCAGAAATTGACCAGAAAACACACAAAATGAAGGAAAATAAACTTATCAGGCTCAAAACTACCAGAAAAACCATACAAAGACACATGAAACCACCATAAGGAGCTATAAAATTAACAAAAAGAGGCAGAATTTGACCAGATAAAACACAGAAAAAGAACGAAAATAAACTTATCAGGCACAAAACAACCCGAAAAACCCAATAAATGGAGAAAAACAAATAAAACCAACACAAAGGTGAACCATTTTGAAACAGAAAATGACCATAAAGAGAGGAAACATGAAGCGATAACACAGAAAACAAGCAGAAAGAGCTCTGAGAGCTAATTTAAAGGTCAGCATGTGAAATAAAGTACCAAAATTACCAAAAACAGGCAGAATTTGACCAACAAAAAAAAAAGAAATTAAGCTAAATTAGCTTTTATCAACAGAAGAGAGAAGTTTAAGCTGATTCTGAGAAGAAAAAGGAACCTTTAGCTGCTCCTCTTTCGGGTTTAACTCAGAAACAACTTGGACTTCTTTATACCTGGGAGCTCTTCCCGGTGTCTGTCGGTGGTTTTTAATAAAAGACAAGGCCACTTCCTGACTGGATCCTTCGGCTTCGCCCTGCAGGTCAGGAGAGGAAGTACGAGGTGAGGAAGAGGAGGGTCCTGCGGGGGCGGTCGGTGCCCCACTATGCGGCGGTGGAGCCTGGAGGGAAGGGGCTGATGGTGGCCTCCGAGCGGCCCTTTGCTTTCACGCATGTGGACGGACAACCAGTCGTCCAGCCAGAACCGGAGCCCATGGAGGAGGACAAAGCAGGTGGGGACAATCTGTTAAATTTTGAGACCATACACGGTGGACATTGACACTTTTTTTTTTAGCTAGATTAAACTTTGATTGACTTGGAATTGACTGGGAAACAATATATAGATAGATAAATGGATGGATGAAGTACATCAGGGGATATAGATCACAGGTTATGCATCAAAAGATATAAATCCAAAGCGATCAACAGACCAAAGAATGTATTAAAAGACCAATCAAAAGGATTTAAATCAAAGAATGAAGATCGATAGAGATGGATCAGAAGAGATGGACAGATCCATAAAATGATCAATTAAAGCATATAGATAAAAAGATAAGATAAAAAGATAGAAGGATGTAGATAAAAAGATAGATAAAACGATTTAGATAAAGGGATAGATAAAAAGGATATAGATACAAAGATAAAATGATATAGAAAGAAAGATGTAGAGAAGAAGATAGATAAAGGGATAGATATAAAAGGATATAGATTAAAGGATGAAAGGATAGATTAAAAAGGATATAGATAAAAGGATATAGATACAAAGATTTAGTTCTAAAGATGAGATCAATTCAGCTCTCTCAGAAAACGGAAAAGAAGAAAAAGCAGCTCCAAGCTCCCGTTTATCAGCAGCAAATGAAAAGGAGTTGACTGATAAAGGAAGAATTCAGGGGGGCTTTATTTCAGAAACATTTGTCATTGAACAGCCTCTGACTCATCAGGCAGAGCCGTCCTCCGCCTCTCCTTTAACAGAGACGGAGGCCACTCATCCTTTACAGCCAGCATGACCTTCCACTTCCTCTTTTCTGGGGCTGAGTGTGTGTTTGAGACCAGCAGAAGCAGCTCGCTGTGGCCTCCATGAAGCAGAGCCCGACGCCCAGCATGAACCGTTCAATTCAATTCAGCTTTATTCAATTCAGCCAAATCCCAACAACAGTTATCTGACAGCTTTCCAAACAGAGCAGGTCAGACCGAACTCTGAGTTATTTACAGGAGCACAACAGTTCCCACCAAAAGCAGCACCAGGAGACACAGGGAGGGAAAAACTGCCTTTAGGAGGAAGAAACCTCAAGCCAAGGGGCTTTTTCTGTCAAAAAGTGGGGGGGGAAATGGGGGGTCTGCTTCCTGAAGAAAGCAAAGAGCTCCTTCCTTCCTTCCTTTAAATTCTTTCTTCTTTCCTTCCTTCCTTAAATCCTTCCTTTAATTCTTTCTTCATTCCTTCCTTGGTTCCTTCTTTTCTTCCTTTCATCATTAAATTCTTCCTTCCTTCCTTCCTTCCTTCCTTCCTTTAATTATTCCTTCCTTCCTTAATTTTTTCCTTCCCTCCTTTTATATTTAATCCCTGATTATTTTATGTTGTTTATCTTATTTATTTATTTTTGTCTTTATTTTCTACCTTTAAGCTCTCGATAAAGCCCTTTGAATTGCCTTCATGCAAACAAACCTTCCTTTCCTGGCTGATTTCCTGCTCCAGATCGGACGCTAAACGCTGGCTAAATGCTGGACCCGTCAGCCCAACCTGCCCATTTCTCTCCCTCTGAATCCAGATCCCATCTACTTCTGGCAGCAGACGGACGAGGACGTCACCGTTTGTGTGCGGACGCCCGAAGGCGTCACGAAAGAGGACGTCCAGTTCAAGTTGAAGGCGGATAGCCTGAGCGTGGGGCTCCGGGGCTTCGCCCCCTTACTGGCCGGACAGCTGTACGCCCCTGTGGACCCGGAGGCCAGTACCTGGATCATAAAGGATGAAAAAAGGTTTGCCACCAGGTTTCTGCTGCCGTCCTGTTTGCTCTTTAGCTGCAGAGAGCCTCAAAATCCACAGGACCAGAGGCCCCTTTGGATCAGGAAGTAGAGTGAAAAAATGGGTAATGGATGCTGGAACATGGCGGACATCTTGAATGCCGCCATGTTGGATCAGGGGGGAGTTTTTCTGATGGGAAGGTGGTCGTGTCCCATATCAAAGAGGAGCAAAACTTGGTTGGAAGTCGGCTTCTGCAATCAGATTAGCTAAATCTATTAAGTTTCATAGGATGGGATATTGCATATTGTGGGGTAAAAAATTTTTATATTGCTCATTGTAGGGTAAAAAAAAACTAAAGATTTCACATTGTAGAGTGAAAAAACTGTAAATATTTAAATTGGAAGGGTAAAACAGTGTACATTTTCCACATTTTAGGGTTAAAAAAAAGTAAATATTACTCATTGTAGGGTTAAAAATGTCAACATTTCATATTGTAGAGTAGAAAACTGTAAAACTTTCAATTTGAAGTGTCAATAACTGTAAATATTGCACATTTTAGGATAAAAACAGTAAATGTAGCACATTTGTAGGTTAAAAAGAAAATATTTTTTACATTTTAGAATAAAAACTGAAGGGTAAAATAATGTAAAAAAATTGCACATTGTTGGGTAAAAAACTAAATGTTGCACATTGTAGGATAAAGTATAAATATTCCACATTGTAGGGTAAAAAAATAGTAAATGTTGCACATTCTAGGGTAAAAAAACTAAATATTCCAACTTGTAGAATAAAAATTTTAAATATAGCTTATCACTATTATCATTATTGTATTTTTCTCTATGCTCTCACTAAAAGAATAACTTCCTGTCCTGGTTTTTCTTTGTATTCCCTCTGAATAATGTCATTATAATCTAATTTCTGTGCTGGATGGAACGATGCGGCTGATTCACTTCCCCCTTAGAGGCTTTTTCTGTGCGTTTCTGCTTCCTGTTTCTCAAACCGGAGCGCTCAGTGAGAGCCGAGTGACGCAGTCTGCTGGTTAGTTTTTCTGATGGGTTGAAATGCTGCTTTATGTGAGAGGGAAAGGAAAGACGTGTAAAAGGGAGCTGGTTTTAACAGAGAGTGGCTCTCTTTTCTCTTTCTGTAAAAGGTGGATTTCATCATCGGGGACCTCTTGACTTCCTCTTTGTTTGGATGCTGGATTCATCCAGATGCCCCATTTAAGCTTTTAGTCCCTCAGAAATGGCAGATTCTGTTTTTTCCTAAAAAAAAAAGAAGTTATTTAGCTTCATTTGTGGTTCTGACACCAAAATGCTGGTCGTCGCAGCTTTAAAGCGCCGGTTTAAAGTCCTTCCTTCCTTCCTTCCGTCCTTCCATCCATCCAGATTCTCGGGAACCAGAACCAGAACCATGCACCCTGAGAGCAAAGAGCTCTCGGAGCTTCAGAGCTCAGTTTCCAGTTAAAAGATAGTTAAGAAGTGCAATAAATTGAAAAAAATAGGAACTTTTTAGTTGGTTTAAATTGCGCTTTAGATTTGATTTAATTGGATTGGATGGAAAATCACAAAGGTTCGTTAAAGCTCTCCTCACTCAGTAGGAAACATAACGAGGAGCTTGATTTTATGCTAATTTTATTCAGTGCATTCACATTTTTACCTCGAATCCTGGAGGACTGCTGCTCATTAGCATCTTTTAGCAGCATAAAACACAGCAGCGCTCTTCTGCCACTTCATATTTTAGTGGGAGAAGATACATATTCATTCTTTGAAGGGTTTAGATGCAAAACAGCTTTCTTTCCTCCTGTTTTCTCTTCCTTGAAACCTGTTTTAGCCACTTTTAACATTGCGCTGCTTTTAGATTAAACGAGTTGCAAAGAAAGTTAGTGGATTTATTGTCTAATAAGAGTTAACACAAGCAGCAAACCACCATGTTTATCCTCAGATGCGCCTTTTTTATCGCTGTCAGCTTTAATTATACGTTTATGGCTTAAAAAAGAGACGTCAAGCAGACAAGATGTCAGGCTTTGGATTCCTGTGCAGAAACTCTTTGTTGCATCTCATCAAAATGTGCAAAAAGTAGAATAACAGACGACTGTGTAGATCCCATCTATGGAAAATATTTTATCCTTTTAATTTCAGCTCCGTGGACGTTTAAAAAAATAAATTAGTCAAAAACTAACCTGTTTATATATTTTGATAATTTGGTTAATTTCTTTGCTTTTTTAGTTTGATAAATTCAGTTTTTCCAACTATAAAAGCATGTTATTTAATTTCAAATGATTTAGCAAAGATAAATAAATAGTATATAAATAAACGAACAATGATTAAAATGATTTAAGGTTATTAATTGAAAAAGAAAAAAAAATGGAATAATATTACGTTTCAATTTCTAAACCTTAATTTTAAAACCTTTAATTTAAAAATTGATTTAATTATTCATTTTAAAAAGGAAGGGCAGGATTCAAACCAGGGCCAAATTGGCCAATGGGAGCAGGGCGTGCTGTCCCATGTGACCCGAGAAAGGAGAGTATACTGTGTGTGATCGATTTAAATGGAGGAACATCTATGTGGGAAATTCTATAGAAAAACACAGAAGAATCTGCTTTTTAGGTCTTTAGAGGAAGGAAAATCATTGAAAAATCAGCTTTTTAGGTCTTTAGATGAAGGAAAATCATTGTTGTGTTCAAAGACCTCAGAATTCTGAGCGCTTCTTTCTCATCCTGCCTGACGCTGACTGTGTCCTCAGCCTGGAGCTCAGCCTGCAGAAGCGCAGCGAGGGGCCCATGTGGCCGGAGCTGGTGATGGGTGACCGGAGGGGCCAGTTCATGATGAGCCAGGAGCAGGCCGATTTACTCCACCAGAGGCTGACACACCTCACCTCCGACGAGCTGGTGAGGCCCCCAGGGAGGAGAGGGGCATCATGGGAGTCCGGAGGGGGGAGAGGGGCATGATGGGAGTCCAGAGGGAGGAGAGGGCCATGATGGGAGTCCGGAGGGAGGAGAGGGGCATGATGGGAGTCCAGAGGGAGGAGAGGAGCATGAAGGGAGTCCCCCAGAAGAACTTTGGGGTGTTTCAGGGTCTCTGAGTGTCTGTAACTATCAGCTTTATCAGAAAGGAAAGTCTGATCTTAAAGTTAGAGAGGGGGGTCTGCTTCCTTCTTATTCTTCTTCTACTTTTTCTTATTTTCCTTCTCCTTCTTCGTCTTTATCATCTTCTTCTTCTATTTCTCCTCCATCCACTCCCTCCTCCTGCCTTCAGCCTCCTTCATTATCATCTGGGCCCACTTGAGTCCCCCCCCTCCCCATCCAGACCAAACCTTTTACATGCTAATAAATGCAAAACAGGAGTGCCCTCAGCTTTAGTTGACCCCCCTCTTCCCATCCTGTGTGGGCAGAATGGAAACCCGGACGGGGACAAGCCGCCCTGTAACTCCCAGGAGCTGGAGGACTGCGACGGCTTCCCAGACGACTGCTCCAGCCTCACCCGCTTCGACGAGGAGACGCTCAGGCCCACCCAGGTGGTGAGTTTCAGTCTCAGGCCTTCATTTATGAGGACATTTTTGTCCCTTATTGACACCCGTACTCCAAGTCTTCAGTGTTGATTAGATTTTATGGAAAAGAAATAACGAAAAAAACTCAAGATTTCAAATGATTTCAGTCATTACGGGCAAAAATGTCTATTAAGAATACACTTAAAAAAATTTGATTTTGATATTTTCTCTTTTGGGGGGAGGAAACTACCAGTTTTAGAGATTCCTGCTAGAAAAAATCATGAAAAAACTACCAAACACCCAATATTTTCGAGGATTTTAGTCATTAACGGCAATAATGCCCGTTAAAAATACACTCAAATAGATGAGATTTTGATGTTTTCTTTACTTTTTTGAGAGTTCTGCGTGAAAAAAATAATGAAAAACTACCAAACACTTAAGATTTCTTAGGTTTTAGTCATCAAGGGACAGTTTGAATAAATAATGTATGTTTGATTTAATTGTATTTGATTAAAAACAAAAATAAGTATTACTTTATGATTTCTGAGTAGTTTTAGATCTTCTCCCCACTTATAAAATACTTTTTTGTTGACTGAGCCAAAACCGGCAAAAGGGCTCCAGATTCCAGTAATTTTTTCATCCTTTCTCTTGTGGATAGAAAGGACATTTTAGAAGGACCATTTTCTTTAAAAATAAATAAATAAATAAAAATATTTAAGCCTTCCTGCTTTTTTCTGTGGACCGGATGAACCAGGCTCACAGACGAGGAGCTGAACATGAAAACCTTCTGCTAGATGATGCATTTACAGCCACAAGTGAATGTTTCTTCCACAAAGCCGCCAGGTTTTAAAAGCTTTTCTCTTCCTCGTTCTTGTGTTTGATTCGCACAAAAGCATCGATGTTATGGTGACTCACTCCCGGCTCAAACCCTCCCACAGCGGGCTCAGATGGAGCCTTTCATTCTGCAGAAAAAGGCTGGAAAGTGTTCGAGCTCCAGGGCCGAAGCGACCGGCTCCTTTAGTGCTTCTGCCTCCATTTAATGGAGCAGCCGGCCCAGCTTCTGCCTCTAAACAGGAGGGATTGTTGCCTCCTTTTCCATCAGCCCAGGCCCGCTTTGTGCACGTGTGCGTGCACGTGCACAGGAAGCCCTGCATCTCTGGAGCTCAAAGTTTTAGTTTCGAGTTTCGTGTTAAAAGAGGCTGATTCAGATGAATGGAGCGGCTCCAAACTGGATGCCTGTGTTGGAAAACTGACATTTTTGTCGCTTAATGACTTCCGTAGTCACAGCTTTCAGTGTTAGTTTTAATCTGGACTTGAGTTGTTTTAGAGATTTCTACCATAAAGAAAATAAGAAAATCAGGAAAAAACTACCAAACATTCAAGAGTATTTGTGATTCATTAAGGGCAAAAATGTCTCCTAGAAATGGACTTAAATAGATTACTTATATTTTTTTAACTTTTTGGGGGTTTTCAGTTTAAGAGATTTCTGCTGGAAAAATCATTGGACTGATGTTTTGTTTGAGGATTTCGCCATTTGAAATTCATTTAATGTTTAAATCATCTGGACAGTAATTAAGTTTGAGCTGTGCAGAAGTCCTTTAAAAACACAGTTTCTTCGATCCTGATCAACTGAAGTTGGAAATGCATCCAGAACGATGAGGCTGGATGGGATAAATCCCATATTTGTTTGATTTTGGGGCTAAAGAAAGTCTGCATCCGAGATTTCAACAAGTCTGCTACTCATTTCATGCAAATAAAACTCTGAGATCAGCAGTTTTTAGGCAGAATCGTAGCGTTGCTGCGTCATTCTGCTCCTTTGATTATAATAGGACGCATCCATCAGGCTGCTTTAAACAGAAATCAGCTGAATAAAATGTAGCTTTGGGAGGGCGAGACGTCCAGGAATTCTGCTGTTTAAAATCCCTGTAAGTGCTCAGTTATGAAGTATTTCTTTATGACATAAAACATTCCCATCTGCAGTTGTATTTATGCTGCATTATCATAACAGACTGTACTTTTACCTTATGATTCACAAGGAGAGAAAATTTAGTGGGGAACAAATATGAAGTAATCTGCAAATAATTCAAATAAACTTAAAGAAAAATCAAACGAAATCATGAAAAACTACCAAACATTCAAGATTTTTCATGATTTTACTCATTAAGGGCAACATTTCTTATTAAAAATGTTCTAAAATAGATTCAATTGAAATGTTTTTGGGAGGAATTGATCAATTTTAGAGATTTCCGTTTGAAATAAACATGAAAAATAGCCAAACATTAAACTTTTTTCAAGATTTTTCATTATTTTAGGCATTCAGGGCAAAAATGTATATTCAAATGCTCTATGATAGGTTAAAGTGATATGTTTTTGGGAGGAATTGATCACTTTGGGAGTTTTTCGTGAATTTTTCCAATCAGAAATATCTAGAAGATTCAAGATTTTTCATTATAATTGACATTGAGGGCAAAACTGTCTGTTAAAAATGCACTTGAACTAGAATGGATTGATATTTTTCTGCTTCTTTGGGAAGAAATTATCAGTTTTAGAGAGCTCTTCTGGGAAAAACAATGAAAAACTCTCAAACAGTCAAGACTTTTTCAAGATTTTTCATTTTTATAGACATTGAGGGCAAAGCGTCTATTGAAGGTGCTGTAAAATAGAGTGGTTCGATCGCTGACCTTTAACCTCTGCTCTGCATCACATTTTCAGGATCGTTTCTTTATTGGACCTTTCGTATCCTGCCAGATCGTTTATATTAAATCCAAACAGCTCGACCTGTTTGCAGAAGTCACCTGAGGCGAGCTTTATGTGCTAAGACAGATAAAGACGGGCTGGACGTAGAGCTGTCCGGCCTCCGGTTTTCCAGGAAATTACGAGGGGAATGTGCCGTCGGTAAACAGAGGCGGGCGGCTGTGGCGTCATGCAGGCAGCAGGCTGCGTAAAACTCCTTAAGATTTGCCATCTGCCAGCTGGAAGCTGCTAAAAATATCAATTTTGGCCGCTCCGAATGGCAGAGAATGCCTCTGTGACGCAAGCTCCTGCCACTTAAACCTCTAAAACGGCTCCAAACCTGCTCAAAACTACCCAAAAATCAAGAGTTTTCAGGATTTTGGTCACAAAGAAGCAAAAATGTTGAGTGAAAAATGCAGTAAAATAAACTGGATTGACATTTTTTGGGGAGAAACGATCAGATTTAGAGAAAAAAAATCATGAACAACTACCAAACATACAACATTCTTCAGGATTAAGTGCAAAAATGTCTAAAATGTCTATTAAAAATACACTAAAATAGATTAGATTTTAATATTTTATTTATTTTTTGGGAGGAAACGATCAGTTTCAGAGATTTCTGCTGGAAAAATCATGAAAAAACTACCAAAACTCAAGATGTGTTTAGATTAGATTAGATTACATTGATCTTTTCCAGCTTTTTTGTTAGCATCGATCAGTTTTAGAGATTTCTGGTGGAAAGAAAAGCCACCAGTACCTATTCAGGTGGTCCCCCCCCCCTCACTCCTCTGTGCCTGTGCCTCCAGGTGAACCTGGGCAGCCACCAGTACCTGTTCACGGTGGAGGCCGACCCGGGGGCCATGCCCTGCCTCTGCCTCCGGCACGACGTGGACGCCCTGGTGTGGCAGCCCCGCCCCCAGCAGCCCGCCGACCCCTGGGAGCACGTGGCCACCTTCAACGCTCTGGGTGAGAGGAAATGCCCCCCCATTACTGACCATAACAATAATACATCATTACAAATATTATAATAATGATAATAATAGTGAAGCTAATAATAATAAGATTATTATTATTATTACTAATAATAAGGATAATGGTGATAATAATAATAATCATGATAATAATAATCATAATAATTATAGCAATAATAGTTACAATAATCAATCATAATAATAATAATAATGATAAGAAATATTGAAATCAACAATAGTGATAATTATGAAAATGATGAATAATATGAATAATAAAAGAATGAAAATACTACTACTACTAATAATAATAATGAAAACAATAATGATTACAATAACTGTAATAATAATGATAACAATAATTATAATGATAATTCAGTTTTAGTGTTGATCATCCTTTGGTCTGCGGACCTTCTACAATCAGACTTCTTAATCAGAAGTAATAATGTTCTTTAGTATTTTATTTTTTACTAAAACAGATATTAGAGAATTCATTGATAACAATAATAATTCAGTTTTATTGTTAAAAATAATTTAAAACCTAGATTTCCTGTTTTTTCTCCCTAAATTTCAGCAACTCGGAGCTTCTCTGAGGAGAACATTCAGCCACTAAAACTCTGTTTTCTGTTTAGGAAATAAACAGAATCAGACTCCTTAATCAGAAATAATGACGTTTTTTAGTGTATTCATTTATTTTTTTTGTCAAACAAGAATATTTGAAAATAGATTGATAACTATAAAAAGCGAAAATCCTTCCAGCTCTTCTGGAAAGAAGAACCAGGAGGTCACGAGTCGACATTTTCAACATTTTTAACGCTTTTAATTGGACTCCTGCCCTTTTCCCGCCGACTGACAGCGTTTTGTGCTGGTCGTGCACGTGGCCGTGCACGCTGGAGGTGGGGGGGGTGCATAATGCAGTTAGACGCACAGCATGTCGGCCTTTCTGCTAATCAGGTTTGTCATTTACCTGATTAGCAAACAATTATCTGCTCTGGAGACGATGAGCTGCACTTTAATGTTTCTGAGTGGAGACAAAACACAGAAGGAGGCTAAAAACCTGCATTTCCTGAAGCCCAAAATGAGGCATTTGTAGCATAGATAGGCAGCAGAACAGCTCCTCTCCAGGTTTAAGGCGGGATGAGATGCTAAAAGCTACGCTAATGAGAAAAAAAAACCTAATCTGGTGACAGATTGAACAGATTTTAAGCAGAAAAGTGCTTTTTTTCCCTAATTTTTTTCCACCTGCCGGCCTTTAGGCTAATTTCCTGATGATTTTGGGGGTTTATCCACACTGTCCTCCCTTTGAAAATGGGTCACTTTGGCTGCTTCAGTCCACCGTCGTAGGACGTTAAATCAGTGGGAGTTTTGGATTCAACCGTCATGAGTCTTTTAGATGTATATTAATGGTTTCATTCAGGTTCTAATCCATTGTGGGGGGTTAAGATGCCTTTTTTTTGACAATTTTTAACAAATTCTTTCCATCTTTTCAGCCCCGTTTTGGGGCTTCTGAGCTCTTTTTGTGGTCCTTTGGCCACTTTTTTGTCCTTTTAGTACCTAGTTTCAGATCTTTTACATGTATATTCATGGTTTCATTCCGTTTCTAACCAACTTTGGGAACTCTTGGATGGCTTCTAAGACACAATCACAGCTTCTGTGATGTTTTCCACCTCTGAAGAATCCCCAAAAAGTCAAAAGGAAGCAGAAATGCTCCTTCGTGGGGCAGAAAGAGTTAAACCGCCGGAAGAAGAAACAGCTAAACGATCTAACGGAGCTGTTTTCTCTCTGAATAAACCTCTCAGGTTATGTTCAGGCGTCCAAGCGGGACAAGAAGTTTGCCACCTGCGCCCCGGACTTCTCCTTCGCGTCGCTGTGCGAGTGTCTGCGCCGCGTCTTCATCTACCGCCAGCCGGCGCCGGTGGAGACGCTGCTGGTCAACAGGAAGCAGGGCCGGCAGGTGGGGCAGGTTGCCAAGCAACAGGTGGCCAGCCTGGACTCCGACCAGCCAATCCTGGGCTTCCGAGCGACCAACGAGAGACTGTTCGTGCTGACCGCCACCAATCTGTTTATTCTAAAGGTCAATAATAATTAGATTCTCCGTGGCGGCGCCCCCCGGAGGGCGTTTGAGGGCGACCTTTTCTCCCCATGTGCTCCATTTCTATGTGTGATCAGCTGATTGTGTCCCCAAATAAAGTTTTTCTAGAATTCTTGTCTTCTACGGTAAATTCATTAGGGCCACGGCGGGAAAACGGCCTCGAAGCGGCGCCACATGTGTTAAAAAAATTTGAACGTTTTCCACTGATTTTCACCTCCTGACGCTCAGATGAGGTCACTTCCTGTTCAGGAAGGCTTCTTGAACACGTGCACACGCATCCTATGACGTGCACGGAGCAGTGTCTACGGTAATTTTTAACTTTTTTAACAGCCTCGGGATCCTCAGTTTCAGCCACACGGTGCATTCAGAGGCTGGGACAAAGCTGGGACATCTGGGTTTTAATCAATTTAATTGTGCTGGAGCAAAAAGAGGAAAAGCGACTTCCGGTTTATGAGGTCATGGGAGATTCTGACTCTTTTTATTATCAGGCTCCTCAGTTTCAGCCACAGGGTGCATTCAGGTATTCAATTTATTATAATAATAATGATATTATACTATAATAATTACATGAAAATATAATAATGATAATATTCTTATATGTTTAAGTGTCTGTGAAAGTGGGGCTAGGGGATCTGAGATGTCCTTATTTAAGAGGGAGGCCTGTTGGGGGTGGGGGGGGACTGTTTGACTGTCTGGTGGTTTGGGTCCTGATGGGTATGAATCTGCTTTATTTGTCATCGTTTCCTGTCACGACTCGGATGTGTGTGCGCGGCCGGCTGGTGGCAGCTTTGCCAGATGGTCGGCGGGGGGCCGGATGCTGAGGGAATCCCTCTGCTGTTTGGATTTGTTGGAGGACGGACAGATTCGATTCAGAGCCTTTAAAACCTGGAGAAGAGCATCAGCCTGGTCTCTTTCCATGTGTTTTACAGACCCTGAAAAAGCCCAGTTATCTAATGGACCAAGAGGAAGGAGACGGGCTCAAAAGGAGGCCTAATGGAGCCTTTGTGAGGGCAAAGAATGGCCCGCTTTGTGTTTTTGTGCTTCACACAGGCAGTGGTGGATCAGATCCATAACAAAATCCACCTCTGGACAGAAAAAGATCCATATCTGCTCTTTTCATACCAGACCAGATTCACCAGGAGCTTTAATTCTGTCCTTTTCCTGCTGTGGACTGTGTTTCTGATTCATGTTTTCTCTCTTTGTGGTCATTTTGTGTCTCTTAGTGCTTGATTTGTGAGTCTTTGTGGCACCTCTGTGATGTTTATATATTTTTCTCCATTTCTTTGGATTTTTCTGGTAGTTTTGTGTCCAACAAATTTCCTTTAATTCATTGTGTATTTTTTTGTTCATTTTGTGTGGTTTTGGTCCCTTTATATCTTAATGGTTCCTTTGTGAGTTTTTGTGGCATCTTTGTGATGTTTTTTTTAAAATCTTTTTATCCATTTATTGTGATTTTTCTAGTAATTTAGTTTCTGATCAATTCATTTCCCTTCATTTGGGGTATTTCTGTGATCGTTTTGTGTGTTTTTGGTCAGTTTTTCGTCCCTTTGTGTCTCTGGGGAATGTTTTTAGTCTCTTTGTGCCTATTATCTGTTAGTTGTGTGTCTCCATCAGCTCCCATCTCAGGGCTGTGAGCCAGGACTCGTTTTTCGTCCTGCGAGGCGTCCAGCCGGCTGTTGTTATCACCTTTTGGGGAAAATCCAGTTTCCCTGAGGCTTGATTGGATTATTGGTGTGTAATTGTGTTACCGTGCAGCACTTGTTTTGTTAGGTCCACCAGCAAAAACATCTGGATACAGGGAATATATATAAATATATGTATGTATATATATTTTAAATAATTTATTAATGTGGAGAAAAAACGTAAACTTTGAACCTTTAAAGCCTGATTCTAGAACAAAAAGAGAAAATTATATAATATTATATTATATTAATAATTATATTATTATTTTTTGCTCTGATGGCAGCTTCCATTCTTCCTCTGGTGGTTTTTCTCTCCTCTGACAGTTTCTCTGGTTATTGAGTCCCTCCGAGGTTCCAGCTGCTCTTGCTCTGGGTTAAACTTCTGTGTGATCAGTCTCTGGATCTCCTGACCCCCACGTGGCCTTTGCCTTTTTAGTCTGATGAAGCTGTAGACACAGTTTACTCATTTCTGCTTTATTCCCTTTGCAGTTGTTGGAAAAGCCGCTGGACACGAAGCTGAAAATGCTCATTACTCCAGCCTCCGTGTGCAGTAACGAGCATTATGCTCCATTACGGCAGAACGGGTTCTTTTTATGGGGGTAATGAACCAGAAATGTCTCTCCTTAGCTCGTCTGCTCCTCCTTTTCTTAATCTGCAGCTCAGATCTGCCGTTCAGACGTTTTCTGGGGCTGTTTGGACTCTTCCAGCAAACAGATGTGATGCTTTGGTTCCCGTTTGGTTCTTGTTTTAGCTCCCATAGTTGGTTCCCGCCTATTGGTTCCTATGCTTTGCTTCCTATGTTTTGTTCCCATCTTTTGGTTCCCGCCTCTTGGTTCCTGTATTTTGGTTTCCGTCTTTCGGTTTGGTTCTATTTGATTGGACTTTATTTTATGAATGATTGCAGGTTATTTTAAAGATAAAAGACATTTGAATTTCCCTTGTGGAGAATAATTTAATTTTCACACAGAGGAACATCTGTGTGGGGAATTCACACAATTTAGAAAATCACAGAAAATATTTATATGGGAAGCACTTTGTTTAATTTGTCCCACATAAGACACCAAATCTTGTTTTGCTGACCCACACTGGAAAGTATGAAAATGTGTCATCTGAATTTTATGGTGTTCAAAAGGTTTGAACTAAATAAATCCACATATTTAACCATATTTCAGAAACATCTTTATTACACAAAGACAAAAAGTACAAATTCCATCAAAGCGATCAACGATAAATCACCACTGAGCTGGAAGCAGCAGAACAAACAGAGAAAGCTGCAAAAACCTTTAAAACCGACGCAGAGCTGAAGCCACGACACAGCCTACAAAACCGCCAGAGGTCAAAGGTCAGCGCCAGGCCCAGGCGATGCTTCCTGGAGAGGTTTAAGAGCTGGAACTAAGGCTGGAAACCGGTATAACACCCACAAAAACTGACTCTGAACTCCTCTGGCAACGTTTGGACTGCAGAGAATATATATTTTCTATCCTGTTTGCATTGAAAATGGGGGAAAAAACTGAGAAATCCCACCTGGTTTGTTCAAATGGATGAAAAAGAAGCCACAATGTCTGTTTTAAATTAGATTTTTTCCCCTTACATACATTGAGTTTTTAAGAGTTTTTTTTTGTCTAAAACAGATTTTAAATCTGAAATTTTGTAGTTTTATTTGATGAATCATTACATGTGAGTCAGTCTGGGGATAAATTCTATTCCAGAAACAAAGCTGAGCCTCATAAATGAAGTCAAAACTACAGTTAAAACCGAGCAAGTTGCTCCGATTGACTCTGATCAGGTGTAGGAAAAAATAACGACTCTAACCTCTGATGTTTTCTGCAATCAGCCACTTAAGGCTTCTCATTTGGGGAGTTTTTCCACCACTTCGTGACCTTTTGTCTTCCTTTGTGGGTCATTAAACTCCAGCCGGCCACGCAGAGATAAGACGACCATCTGGGACAGCCCATTTCACAGCTCAAACAAAACTCAAACCACAAAAACTGCCATAAAATCTTTACAGATGAATATTTTAGGGCTTTTTTTTCCTGCACAAAGCTCCAGTGCTGCTCTAAAACCACCAAACATTCAATCGTTTGAAGGATTTAAGTCACTGAAAACTTAAGTCTAAAAAAGCTCTACAGCTGATTTAAACTGATGTTTTTCACCTTTTTTCTGTTAAATCTCTTAAACAACTGAAGTCCGGATAAAATTGATCAAGATTTTAACTCTTTACAAGCCAGTTTGAGCACATATTCTTAATTTTTTCATTTCCAAAATAAACAGAAAACGTATTATTCACATACAAACAGGGATTTTTCCTTTTAAAGTAGATTTACAGATAAAAACATCAATAATAAAAATACAGATTAACAATATTTAAACGTACGAAGTAGGTACCAGAACAAATTCAATCGACATGTAGAGGTTCTGCTGTGTTGAGTGCTGGGGAGGTGATGTTGACTCAGACACCTTACATAAGGCGGGCGGGCTTCAGATAAGATAACAGCCGCCTGGTGGGGGGGGGGCTCTGTGTTCTGCCGGCGGCGGGCGGCTTTACAACGTCCGGATCGGCTTCAGCCGCCCGCAGCGCCCTCGTTACGCGCCGCTGGCTGGGATCTGTGTTTGGTCTGCAGGTGTGGAAAAGGTCAGCAGGTACTCAGGAAACAATATTCCCACTTTAGAGACGCCATTCCAGCCAATGTCTAGACTGTTTTCAGGTGTTGTTCCAAGATGGAGGAAGGAACTACCAGGCCTAAAGAGCAGCAGGTCCCTGTCTGTCTTCATAAACTCCTACAGACCCCCCTCCCCACAGAGCACCTCCTATCCTAACTCCTCCCCAGACCTCTGGACCCTCTACTCCTCTTTCTGAGCTTCCCTCTTTTCCTCCTGTCTCCACTGACTCTGACTGGGGATTTTCCTCCACAGAGCTGATTGTCAGATTGATGAGAAGTGGAACATTGGGTCTACTTTGTGAGTCGCTTTGGATAAAAGCGTCTAAATGCAGAAATAGAAACCCGGAGAGAACCCACACAGACACAGAGAACATTCAAACTCCACAGAGAGGTCCTGGTTCCCCCGGGGACTCGAGTCCAGAACCCCGATCCATCCATTATCCATCCATCCATTATCGTAACCGCTTATTCCCTAATGGGGTCTCAGGGGAACTGGAGTCTATCCCAGTAGCCAATGGGGAGAGGCGGGGTCACCCTGGACGGTCCCCAGTCCATCACAGGGCCACACAGAGACACACAACCACACATACTCACACTCACTCTTAAGGGAAGTTTGGAGGGTCGAATCAACCTACCATGCAGGTTTTTGGCCTCAGGTTTCCAGCCTTAGCTGGACTTTGACTCTCTGGATGTCAGACTTGTTGTGGACTAAACTTTCCAAACTTATTTACAACATTTAGCTTTAAATAAACCAACGTTACTGTCTGAATTTGAAGAAAAAAGAGGAAAAATTGCTCTAATTTGAACCTTTTTCCTTTTTCTGACAAGAAATCTTCATCTGACATCCAGAATTTGATCAACCTAAGCAAAAAGATGGAGTTTTCTTACTCAAACTCTGGAAACTCTGGGTTTAAAAGTAGTGTAAACCCTTTAAAACTTCTGTAATTTCCCCTAAAACTCCTGAAAAGTCTGAAACCTGCAGCATGGCTTCATCAGAGTCCAGAACCTGCTGCTCTGCTCAGGTCCAGCAGCCTCGGCTGGAATTTGAGTATCTGGATGTCAGACTTGTTGTGGACTAAACTTTCCAATCTTGTTTACCGCATTTAGCTCGACACAAACTGACTTCACCGTCTGAATTTGAAGTAAAAAAGAGGAAAACTAGCTCCAATTTCAACCTTTTTCCTTTTTCTGGCACAAATTCTCCATCTGACATCCAGAATTTGATGAAACTAAGCAAAAAGCTGGAGGTTTCTTACGCAAACTCTGGGTTAAAAAGTAGTTTTGACCCTTTAAAACTCCTGTAATTCCTCCTTAAAACTCCTGAAATGAGAGTCCAGACCTGCTGCTCTGCTCTGGTGTGCTCAGGCGTGGCTGAGGTCCACCTTCCCGAAGCCGCAGGGCTCGGGCAGCAGCTCGTCGGTGACGGTCAGCTCCTCCAGCTCGGTGGTGAAGTGCTCGGTGCTCAGCGAGGTGTCCCTCACGGCGCTGTAGGTGAGCGCCACGCCGGGCGCCGCCGGCCCGCCGGCGCCGGCGCCGGCGCCCGCCGCCCCGCAGCCGCAGATCTTGCGGAAGGCGGCGCGGAACTTCTGCGACATGGCGTTGTAGATGAGCGGGTTGACGGCGCTGTTCAGGTACACGCAGACCCGGCAGAACAGCAGGAACCAGCGGTCCAGGTAGGCCCGGTCCAGCAGGGAGTTGACCACCACCAGGGTCCGGTAGGGCATCCACAGCACGGCGAAGAGGACCACCACCACCGCCAG